TGAGAAACTGATATTGAAACAATAATAATAATAATAAATTATGAATATCAAACATAAAACTAAATGATTTATAATTAATTTAACTAATTAATTATTAATATAAACATATTCATTTAAATAATATTTCAATCTAAGACCAAAATAAACAAAGAAATAATACATATAAATAAAAATCATAAAAATAAAAATGAATAAAATAATTTATATAAATAAATTAATGTTAATTATTTTATATCAATAAATTAAATACTTTTTTATTGGATATCTCTAATTTTTGTAATAAAAATATACCTTTATTTCATCATTCTTTTCATCTTTTATTATCTCTTTTTGAATTATTCTTTTTATCTTCTTTCATTTTATAATCTCAACTTTCTTCTTTTATTCTTTTCATCTTCTTCTACTTCCTAATTTCACTTTTTTCTTTTATATCCTTCTTTCTCTTCCTTTCTATTCATTTCCTTTTTTGTAGCCAATATTATTGTATTTATTCTTTTATCATATTTTATTATTATATTATTAAATAAAAATAAAATATAAAATGAAATAATGAATAAAATAACAACAAAATGAAATATTTAATAATTATAATTTATTAAAAATAAAAATAATTATCATTTTATTTTATTTCTTATTATTTATTGTTTTTCATAACAAATATCAATTAATAAAAATAGAATGATGATAAAAGAATAAAAAAGAAGAAATTAAAATATAAAAATAAAAGAACTAATAAAAACAACTAATAAATAATAAATCAATAATGAAATTAGGATATAATGAAATAATGATAACATCAATGTATTTTAATGATATTAATGATTTTATTAATTTAGAAATAGGAGTTAAAAGATTTCAAGGAAATATTGAACGATTTCATTTTAATCCAATTCCATTAAATGAATATTCAAGAAAATTATTTACTAATATTGAAACATTTCATATTTATAATAAAAAAGATGAAATATTTAAAGATGGAAAAATATTTAAAAAAGTAATATGGTATTTAGTAGATTATTCAACATATTTAAAAGAAAAAGAACAAGGAAATATCTGTAAAAATATAGAATATACAGAAGAAGATAGAAAATCATATGGAACTACAATACCCCCAGAAGTTAAATCACTTGGATATGATTGTTTTAGAGAATGTTATTCGTTAACAACAATTAATATTCCATCATCAATTAGTGAAATAGGAGATTGTTTTAATAGATGTTCATCATTAAAATCAATTAATATACCATCATCTGTTAGTGAAATAGGAAGTGATTCTTTTTATAAATGTTCATCATTAACATCTATGAATATAGATAATCTACAATATATTAGTAAAGAAAGAATATTTATGAATGAACCAGTGTTAGTTAGTATTAAAATACCAGATAATCTAGAAATAATCAATGGAAAGAATATAGAAAAGAAAGATATTAATAAATTTATTATTCCATCTTCAATTACTAAATTAGGAAAATGTTGTTTTTATGAATGTTCAACACTGACATCTATTAATATACCATCATCAATTAATGAAATAGGAGATTTGTGTTTTGATAGATGTTCATCATTAACATCAATTAATATACCTTCATCAATTAAT